TTCAAAGTCCAGAACCGGAGCACGACCACAGCAGGGATTCAAAACCTCCACAAACCCTAAACAGCAAAGCCGACCACAGCAGGGATTCAAAACCTCCACAAACCCTAAACAGCAAAGCCCAAACCCTCAACCCTAAATCAGTGGTTCAGAAATGTTGGATGTAGGGCTTCAGAGCGTGAGGGCCTATACGGTGGAGAGCTTTAGGGTTGAGGACTTTGGAGCTTTATGGTTTAGGCTTTAGGGCTTTGGGCTGTAAGGCTTTAGGCATGAGGGCTCTGATGAAGGGCTTTAGGGTTTTGGGGGCTTAGGCTTTATAGGGTGTGGCTAGGCTTCAGTGCACTCGCGATTCATATAACTTTGAGTGCCCTACAAGCATGTTTTCCTGAGCCACGTAGCAATGCTGGAGCCTCAGCGATTAAAGGCCCGGCAACCCGAAACCTTAAACCCTGCACGCTAAGCCTCAAAACCCGAGAATAGCCCTTGCACAAGCCTTGATAAACACAAACTTGAGCCCTTAACACAAACTCGAAACTCCAAGCATAAAGATCTGCAGGTACTGGGAGCCTGGTCTTAGATCGTCAGAACCGAACCGCCTACCTCGCGCCGCTCGGCCTGAGCAGCTTCTTCTTCTTCTCTAGAACCTGAGGATTCCTAAAGCACCTCAACTCAGGAATACCCCTCAACTCTGGGATAATATAGGGGATTTTCAGTTACCTATAGGATTTTGGTTTAAGGTTTAGGGTTTAGGGTTTAAGGTTTGGGGTTTAAGGTTTCGGGTCTAGGGGTTAAGGTTTAGGGTTTAGGGTTTAGAGGATCTAGCTTCCCGAGCAACTCCCCTCTGCTACCCTTGATTGCCCACTGTTAAAGTACTTGGAAGGGCACTGTCTGATTATTCACTTTGGTTATTTCGTATCTGGGTAGTTCTCTAAATTAATTAGGGTCCCTTTTCAGGTCCACAAGAAATACCTCACCCTTATAAAAATGACCCTCAACGGCACCCTGATTTAGAGAACCACCATGTTTACCTATACTATTTTGGGGGTTCCTCAATATAAGTATAGTATAAAGGGCCCCCAAACCCTATTCTAATCATTCAGATATAGCATAAAGGGCCCCAAATCCCTGTTCTAGTTATTATGGAATATAGTATAAAAGGCACCCCAAAACCCTATTCTAATTTTAAAGGAATAGAGTATAAAGGGCCCCAAAACCCTATTCTAATTATGAAGGCCCCTACATTATGCCTCACAGGAAGTTTCTCCAAGGGATTGTGGTTGAAAGGCTAGAGGCTTCTCCTTGTGAGGTTTTCGGATTTAGGGGTTTAGGGTTTAGGGGTTTAGGGTTTAGGGTTTAGGGTTTACGGGACTTCGTCAACTCAGCCCTAGGCTGAAACTTGTACCTGAGGGTCTAGAAATCCTTGCGCGCCTAGTGCTGTCGTCGGCTAACCAAGACCGACCTACTGTAAGGGCCTAAATAATTACCTATACTGTGGTGGGGGGTTCTTCTTATCATTATTGTATAATGGGCCCCAAGACCCTATTATTATTAAGGCCCCTATATTTACAGTGCCGTCAGGACCTCGAAGCGGGCTGACAAGAACTTGGCTGAGATATGGGCCAAGGACTCTGTGATCCACCCTCTTGCGGGTGAGGGCTCAAAAAAATATTTAAGGGATCAAAAAACTATTTTCCAAGGATCAAAAAAACTTTCACAGATCAAAAAAAACTATCTTGGGCAGAGGGCAGGGCAGAGGGCAGAGGGCAGAGGGCAGAGGGTAGAGGGCAGAGCGCAGAGGGCAGAGGGGAGGGCAGAGGGCAAGAGACCAGAGCGCAGGGCAGGGCGGGCAGGGGGGCAGGGCAGGGCAGGGCAGGGCAGGGCAGGGCAGGGCAGGGCAGGGCAGGGCAGGGCAGGGCAGGGCAGGGCAGGGCACGGCA